CAATCATTAGTACTTATAAACAGGGCTGCAAAAATTTGGGATTGAATGCTCCAAGAAAAATTTTTTACAGACTTACGTACAAATTTTGAACATTAAACTTATCTATCAAACTATCAGCCTGTGTCAAAAGGGTAAATAGTCCTCTCATACAAAAACCATCGTAACATCAAAATAGATTTCTGACCAAACGATATGGGCCTAAAAATATTTTTCGCGGCATATTTGTAGCCTCAAAATTTACTTCTGGGCGATTTATTATCCTAACTTGGCTAAAACAATGTGTTGATGAGGAGTTACTCTTATGACGGAACCGTTGAAAAAGTTTTAACGATTAAAACATCAGTCAAATATCAGTCAAATCCTCCTCTCGCACATACATGAGTTACAGGAATTTTACTTAGCTTTAGATTGGAAAAACGAGATTCGTGCGTTGTTCTTTTTTATAAAACATGTTGCCACGAAAACAGGGAAATAGTTAGGTAGTTTTCAGACTTTTGTTCTTTTCCAAATGCGAGTTAATTATTATTTGTTAGGAAATGAAGTTTACTCATTCGACGAGGAACTGTTTGCAATATTGCACCTTTGACAAAGACAGCTGGAAAAAGTGTGATTTCTTGGTCTTTCGTGAGAAATTTCCACAGCTAACAGACCGCAACTCTTATTCGTAAAATCTTTCAGAAGAGTCACATCTCCATAAAGATGATTCCACGATTCCTCATTTTCGCCATTCTTCTTGCCAACATTATTATGGCGGCAGTATTGGGTGAGCAAGATTTCAGCAGAAATATGAATGAGGTCTTTAAGTGCCTATGACGCCAATTTTTTTTTTTTTTTGCGTCTTCTGGTTGATAGCTGTATTTAGAATTTGAAATGATCGACCTTAGCGTCAAGCGAGTTCTCCTTGACAATTTTTTACGCATTGAAAGTACGATTTCGCGGCCAAAAAGGGTTCCCATTCAACCCGCGGCTTAAACGATCATGCATGTTACACAGCTGTGACGGCAGAAAACTGTGAAGAGGACGAACTTATTGCGTGGCCGGAGCGTCAAATGATGTTAGCCATAAGAATAATACACATACACTGGGTTTTTCTATACACTACTTTCCAAAGGATATAGCTGTACAGCCAAAATGGACGCGTTTCGATGGTCAACATCGGGGAGATTTTACTCTTCAAAGTCGTCGGCCTTATGCTCCGTCTCGGCTTCGAAAACGGCTGTTACAAAGGGTAACCAACC